ATAATAAAACCATTCACAGAGGTATTCCACACAAGTTCTCCTACTGTGAATAAAGAGTGATTCCAATAAAGCACCCGATTAGGCGAGGCACTCAACCGCGGTTTTCCTATCATGCATACACGCAGGCTTACCCTACAGCTTACTAATAATTACACAAGCAGCCTCTGATAGGATTACTTATCTTCGTTTTCTAAGTTCTCGGCATTTGGCTTGTTCGTTTCCTTTTTTTGGCCAAAATGTTGGAACGTGGAACAGGCAGCATCCACACATGAAACTTAGGCAAGAGACATGCACCTTTTTTTTTTGATCGCAAGATTCTAACTGTCCATATTTGAAAACAAGCCTGCTACCACCAGTTGGTTGTTGATCTCTCCTCTTTATAACAACGCTTGTGGCTGTTGTTCTGAGCCACACGTGTGGAACGTATAATATTCTCGACCACGACAGCTGATGATTTTAAAATCCTTACCTCGATGATTTCTTAGAGGTGTTCTAATCCTCGGAAGATTTAAAGCTAAAAATGAGTCAGTGAAAATGTTAGGGATTACATTGAACAAAATCTTTTCACGAGCATTTAACGTAATGCCCGGCCCAGCTGGGGCACACAAAAATAAAATTTACATTAAATTTACCCTTTTCAGCCGTCCCGTCAACCTTTTAATTGGTTTTATACGCAATAATACTAGGCAAACACATAATAAATGGAATAAAGACCATATTCAGTATTGATTACACCACTCCAACCGATGACTTGCGGCTTAACTTGATTCCTTTTCTCTTCTGGGAGAATGGGGATAGTCTCCAACCGATACCCCCGGCCAATATAAGGGGCTGTATTCTTAATTAAAAGAGTGCTATCAAAATGTTCTGCTACATTAAAGGTTTTAACATTCGTAGCAATGATAAAGTGTATTATCGTTTGTCTCACGATGTAGTCACTTGAGATGTAGATCGCGACGTTTCGACCGCTTACTGCTAGTCTTCTTCAGGCGATAAGGTCGACTGATTTCTCACAAGGTGTATTAAGAACCACATTGTTCCAAGAGATCTGCAAGTTCGGCCGCCAGTTCCCACCAGAGGCGCGCGCAGAGTCGCTGAACTA